GCAGGGGTGTCTCTGCAGGGCCTCAGCAGGGGTGTCTCTGCAGGGCCCAAAGCAGTGGTTAGAGCTTATACTTGGCTCCTACCGCCTCACTGTTCCCACTGGGACATTAATGGGGTCCCGGTGGCAATCTCTGGGGACCCAGTCAATAAAATCTCTATTAACACAGCTTTTATAGGTTTTTCTGGAGAAGGCCCTTTCACCTGGTTTGCGGTCAACTGCTGGAGTTTGCTGGAATCTGTATCTGTGGCTGCAGCGAGTTCGGGTTCAATAACATAGGAAGTTTGTTAGAGCTTTGACCAAGCGGATCCTGGGGGCTGTTAGGGGAGTGATGAGGTACCCCCGTTCTCTTTACATCCCTGACTATAATCAATTGTTCGCTCTGGCTTCTAAGCTACACTATCTTACCCAGGGTTGCTCTGCCCACGTATTTTAAAACTCTGTGCCTAACTGTTGGCTCATAGGGTTCTGTTTGGTCATTGTCATTCCCAGAAGGGTGTGTGTCTTACAAAGGCTGCATTGACTCTCAGGGAGCCACCAAAAGCCAGCATTTCTGTGAGCAGGATCCATTCACAGAGTATAGATTCACCTCAAATTATCAGTCTTTGAAATAACCCATGAACAGCAGCCTGATGTGTGGATCTGTCCTCATCCAAGGAAGAGAGATGCAACCATGTAAACAGTAATTTTGCCATCAGTGAAGCAGTCGTGACAGGAAGTTACTCTTATCTACATGGTGCTTGGTGAAGAAACCAAATTCCCGACACTCAGGAGCCTAAACAAGCTTGCATAGCTAGGAAGTGGCAGAGTTGCAGCTTTGAACCTGGAGCTGCAGGGCTCAGATAGCCCTGGCCCAGCCACAGGACAGGGTGGCTCTCACAGGGTTCCTCAAGTCTATAATGGGCTCTTCATTTGATGTGCAAGCAAGGAGATTGGAGTTCAGATCCCCAAACCCCAAGTAAATGCCTAATGGACATAGCAGCTGTAATTCTAGCCTTGCAAAGTGTACAGATGTGATGCCTGGAGCAAGCTATCTAGTCTGACTAGTCATCAGTGATCTCTGAGATTGATTGAGAATAAGGTGCAAAGGGATCCAAGAGGATTCCTAAAATGCATCTCACACACACACACCAATACAGACATAAGTAAAAGTAACAATGAATCTTTTTTTAAAAAAAATCTATCTTCATCATAAATAAGGAACTGTCCTTGAAATGAATATTTGTATTCCCTTTTCAACAGGGGACTTATCGTGTTTGAAAACAAGACCTACATCTTAGAGCCAATGAAGAACACCACCGACAGATACCAACTCGTCCCAGCTGAGAGCCTGAAGAGCATCCCGGGCTTGTGTGGGTCACATCATAACCATTCCAGCCTCACCATGGAAACTGTCTCCCCTGAACCCTCTCAAATGTGGTCAAGAAGGGTAAGAGGGAATCTCAAGTTCATGCTTCTTGAGTGGAAGGCTGAAGGAAAGGGACATGCAGGCCTCGAAGGTCTGGAGCAGCCTTGCTGCTGGATACAGTGTGGATGGAAAGATCCGCATCCCTCTGGAGGCAGGGGATGTCCTGGGAAGAGTATGGTCACAAATGCAAACCCCTGCCTCTCCCCTGCAGGTGCAAGCATCAGATTCGTTAGCATGTGGTGAGCGAAATCTCATCATCAGGGTCAGGAGGTTGCCAAGGTCACCACCACGAGCATAGACAGTAGGGTGACCAGCAAAACGAGCTTGGCTCCTCGCCCCTTCTCGTTCTCCATGTTGAGGTTTCCATGCCCATGGTCTATTCCACAGTTTGGAATCTCAGAACTGGGTATAGAAAATGAACCACCTTTACCCACCTGCTTATGCAGAGAGCCTCTGAGCCTTCTCCAGCGGTTTTCCTAAAGTCTTGTTCATCCTTAGGCCGCGCTGCCAGTGCTTGTCCCTGCCCTCCAGGGCCATGCAGCAGCCTGCCTTTTCTAACCTCCCTCCATGACTCTTTTTGCTGCAGCACCGGAGTTGTTTACAGAGTCTAACTACAAGCTGACTCCCCTCACCAACATTTCCCATCATTCCCTGGAATGACTCTACACTATGGTACTCACTCATGGTCATTCACATGGGCCGTCTAGACCACAGTGGGGCTTTGTTGGCCCAAAGCAAAGGGTCTTTTCCACTGCTAGGTTATAACCAGAGATGAAAGTATTAACCTTTTTCTGGTTCCTTTGTTTTGTTTGGGAGTGGAGGTGTGTATGTGTGTGTTTTCTATTCTTCACTTGAGAATAAATATTTAAAAATCAAATGGATGGTGCCCCCCTTTGCTAACATTTTATTGGCAAGGATAGCAAGAGTGACATGTTCTTCATATCCCTCAACACATTTTGCCTTTCCCAGCTTTAGCTAACAGTCACCTAACTTTGAGCTAACAATATACCTAACTGTCAACATTCCATGAAGATGATTCTTGGTGTATTGGAACCCATCCATCTTTCCTTTCTTCCTTCCTTCCTTCCTTCCTTCCTTCCTTCCTTCCTTCTTTCCTTCCTTCCTTCTTTTTCTTCCTTTGCTTCATTTGCTTTCCATCACTACTAAGGCCTCATGCACACTAGGCCAAGTGTGCTACCACTGACCTACCCTCTACCCCTCTAAATCCTCTAAGTTTAAACAACAAGAGTTCCGTTCCATTCGTTTGCCCCTCCCTAGCATTCTCTTTATACCTGGCCAGAGTGTCTGTTTAAACTGTTCTCAGCCACCCGGTTCTGGACTTTGCCCTATCCAGCCAGATTCTCTGTCATGAGATTCAATCCCCTTTCCCCTTTAATGATTCCCAAAATAGTCCGTGTCAAATGCCCAAAACATTAGTTTTTCTGCCTCCTCATAGAAAGAAGAACTCTCCCCTTTACTTGCTGCTTACTTACTTAAGGAATGAGGATGGAAGTCTATCTGAATTCGAGGTTTTTAAAACTACCCAGAAATACCAGGGGTAGTGGTGCACCCCTGAAATCCTAGCACTGGAGGGTGGAGGTAGGGATGAAGAGGTCAAGGGCATTCTCACTACATAACCAATTCAGGGGATCCTATTTCAAAATGACAAAATGAAGCCAGGAAAAATATCTCAGTCAGCAAAGTGTATGTACGTATACCTGAGTGTGACCCCCAGAACTTATACTAATACATTTTTTAAAAGCCAGACATGCTGATGCTATTTTGTAATCCCAGCTCTGGGAAGGTGGAGACAGGAGGATCTCTGGGGCTCCCTGGCCAGCCAGTCTAGACTTCTTGGCAAGTTCAGTGAACATTTCTGTCCCAATCAAAGCAAAACAAACAAACACAAAACTAACCAACCAATAGCAGCAAACCTATGAATGATATCCTGAGGAAGAATACTTGAAGCTTCCTTCTGTCCTCTACATACCTGCACATATGAGCACATGCACCTACACACACACACACACACACACACACACACGAGAGGTGGTATTGGGGGTAGACAGACAGAGAGACAGACAGAAGAGGGGGGAGGGAGGGAGGAAAGGAGGGAAAGTAGAGAGGGGAAGGAAGGGAGAGAAAGGGAGGAGAGAGAGAGAAAGAGAGAGAGAGAGAGAGAGAGAGAGAGAGAGAGAGAGAGAGAGAATATCCCCAGCGGCAGCAATAGCATCTCAGCTCTGGAAGGGTCCCTCTTGCATTCCCCCTGCCCTACCTCTCTTGAGTAACAGACTTAAGAGCTGGCATCAGAGACAGCCTCTCTGGTCCCTCTCATGTTTATTCCACTCTTCAAACATCCCTGCTTTTGAGTCCAGACCCCAGCTAGGATGTGACTGAGCCAAGCCTCACCCATCATAAACAAGTGGAACATTTGCATTTTGTTTTCCAGGCTCTTGGCTTTGAGTACCTGGTTGAATGCCTGTTAGCCACATTGCATGATTTATAACTTGACAGTTTAAATGATGCTCACATGTGCTCCCATTCCATTTAGAAGTACAAACTTGCTCTGTACTTGCTGACTGTGGTTTAATTCTCTGAGCATACACAGCTCCCTAGAACCATGATTGGCACCATCATCTCCAGTCCCACCGACATGGAGAAAAATGAGAAAGCCTGCCTAATGACGCTGTTTTGCTAATTTGAGAACGTAAGTGAACCTTTAAATGGAAGGGGGAGGCATGGATGCCAGTGTCTCGTTCACTCCGGCTCCCACTCATGCTCGGACATTTCCTGGGATGGTCTCCCACGAGGGAAAGAACTTACCCTAAACTGAGAGCAGATAATAAAGACAGTACAAAAAGTAATTTTCCAATAGGAAGAATACTTGGGAGTTGCAGGCACCTAGAAGATCATTTTGGAGAGCTCTGTGGTGAACAGGCAGAGCAGAGATTCAAGTTGCATGCCCATCCCTTGCCTCACTATGCTGCCTTTTATTCTATACTTTAAAAAAAAATCAATATAACTGCAGCTAATTAATCTTGTTTATGCAGTGCACCAAGCATTATGCAGTGCTCTTCTCCAGCATTTTCCTGACCTGCCCCCTACCAAATGTATACTATCTCGGTTTCTCTGCAGATGTTTGCATTTTTCTGCAGGGAGCACCAGGAATCCCTCTGATCTAGGCGGTCACACTGACTATCGTATAAAGCTGAGCTGTTTGTCACTTTTACAGGGCTCTGTGTTAGATTATAGAGAGAGCCCCATTTGCTTCTGGAAGGCAGAGGTGTCTTTTCTCTCTGGGAATTTTTAAGTCCAGCCTGACGTATCTTGGTACTCGGCTCACCTGCCTGGACTCCTTCCCTCCCCGTTGCTATGCCTGCAAGAATGGAAACGGGAAGCTTGGGAGGCAGCTCCATTTGCAAGGTGCTTGCCTCCCATACACATGGCTTCAAGGGCTAACGCTGGCATCAGATGAACTGGAGATGATGGTGCGTGCCTGTGATCCCAGCACTCTAGAGATGGAGGCAGGGAGATCAGGAGTTCGAGGTCGGCCTCAGGTTCATAGTAAGTTAGAGGCCAGCCTGGGCTCCACAAGACCACATCTGAAAGCAAGCAAACAAAAAGAATAGAAAGAGATTTTAGTAGCCACATTAGTCAGCTTTGTGAGAGAGACAAAGGCTAAATCTGCTAAGAAGAAAATCAAGCTGTGCATCCCAATAGCAGAGAAACGAATTGCTTCGGGAAGGCAGTGAGTGGCCTTGGTCTTCTCTACCCCTATATCTCCAGTACCTAACCCACCGTGGAACACACAGCGAGCTCCCAGAAGACACTGGGAGATGAACAAGTGTCTGCTGGTGGTCTGGCCATCAGAAGACAGGACTGCTGTGGAAACACATGGGTACCCTGGTCTCTTTGACTGAGTTAAGCTCTCCGTGCCAGACATTACAGCAAACTCTTCAGAGGGTACTTTCAGAGGTCTCAGAACTAGTTCCTCTTGGGTACCTTGTCTCTAACTCTGTTCCCACCATCGAGCTGAAACTCAGAGACTTGGGTTCCTGCCTGGGAACCAGCATTTGCTCACAGTCCTGCAGAAGGAAAATCCAGTCAAACAAGCACTTTCCAATGTTGCGCTGCCCATATCACAAATGTAAAATATATATTTTTAAAACTGGACAGCCCAGATAGGTAGAGATCACATGGAGGTAATTTAAGCCGGCCCCTCCCCTGTGGCTTTTCATTACGATGTGGTTAAACTTCTCTCTGGGCATGCAATTCTCTGAATTCATGAGAAAATGTGGATTCCTCTGAAAAGTGCAGAGACAGGAAAATTGTGTTCGTGTGTTTGTTTTCATTATCTGGGATCGTGTGTTTTCTAAATGATGGTCCAAGGCCAGTTGGAAATGTCCTCTGGTCATAGATTTCACCCTCTGCAGTCTGAAAAGTGCAAAAGCCCAAGCAACCAGCCCTTTTCTGATGGGTTTTTTCATGCGAGATTAATTTATTTCTCTATTTCCACAACCTTGTTTTTGTCTGCATAATTAGCTGAATTTGTTCGTGGCTGAACAGGGTATTGGAGGGGGAAGAGAGAGAGAGAGAGAGAGAGAGAGAGAGAGAGAGAGAGAGAGAGATTGATTCCCGGGAGCTGAAGAGATGGCTCAATCAGCGAAGTGCATGAAGTGCATTCTGTTCTGTTCAGCTCCTCCAGCACCCATGTTACAGTTACAGAGCCAGGTGCAGCAAGCAAGCACCTGCCACCCCAGTACTGGCAGAGGAGTGGGGACTGCTGGGTCCCAGGGACTCCCTGGCAGACCAACCTAACTGAAACTCCCAGTTCTCTGGGAGATCATGTCCCAGAAAATCAAGGTAGAGAGAGTTAGAGGAAGACACTTGCCGGCAACCTCCGACCTCCACCTGCATGCGTATACATGGATGTGCACGCACACGCGTACCCCTTCAAGAGCACACATGCAAACACATGCACACACATGCATACGTCACAGGGGTGGGGGAAGAGAAAGGGTAAGGAGATTTCGATTCTTTGGCCCCTCTGTATGGAAAAAGCTTAAGGCGCTCTCATTTCCAGAAGTGTCTCATTTTGAGCCCATGGTGGGGGGGTGGGGAGGCTGGCCTGAGCTCCCAGCTCGGACCGTGAAGCCTGCCTATACATACAGTTTCCAAGCCTGACGGTTTCTCCTTGCAGCGCTGTAAAAGCGTGAGAAATTATACCTTCCATGGTACTTTATTTCCCTTCCTCCATGAGGTTTCCAGATTTCTTCAGGGACACCTAAATCCATGAATCAGCACAGCTGGGCCGCGAGAAGGAACACCACGATAATACAAACATTTTTCTTGTAAAAATCTGTTAGGAAGATTCCGGCCTGGTGGAGATTTGTTTTATGAAAGATGTTTCCCTCCGGATTGTGTGACTGGAAACCTGATTCAAAGCATGCCTTCATCCCTTTTGCTTTTGTCTGGACACGTGGTTGTAACATTGAGTGTTCAGCTCAAGCCCTGTATGAGACTTAAGTCATAAACCAGCAATTTCAGCTGGGAGGACCAGACACGAGATCAACCCTCCTCTTCCTTCAACCGTGTGTTATTGCAGAAGCAGGAGGCTTTGCTTTTTTGTTTTCAATGTTTGATTTTGGAGACCACCCTCCACGAACTGGTTTATTTCCCCTAAAAATGCCTTTGGGATCCTCCCAGTAATTGACAGAAGAGTGTAAATGCTTTCAGAGGAAGCTCGATTAAAATGTAACCTGCCTCAGAGGCCATCTTGTTTGGATGTGTGTATCTCTACCACGGAGTGTCCCTCTCCTGCACCCTGGCAGCTTCCATATTCCTCTCAGCCGCTCCACTTTTGCCAGTCCTAAACCTCACCCGTCACAGTCTTAAAAACCCTGCTTCTTCTTTCTCTCTCTGCCACAAAAACCTTTGCATTTTGTCTCGATTCACCTACCTCTCCTTGGCCTCTCTGCTCCTCAGCTCAGGCTTCCACTGCTTCAGACTCAATGTTTAAATGATTGGCCACAAGCATCTGTTCCCCAGAAAGAACTCAGCATTTTCCCAGGGAGATCACAGATTTCTCTACAAAGTGTATTCTCCACCGCTCTCCTAAGATTGTGGCGCAGATGTACCTGGGTCATAAAAGTACAAGAAACAGTGACAAGCTGGATTCCCGTGTGTCCTCAGCGATCTTCACATCTGTGTGGAGTCTGCAACAACACGCCTTTGGCTGGCGCCAGTTCTATAATGTTCTTTGAAGTTGTTTAGGTGATCGTTTTGTTTAAAAATGACCCTGACTTCTTTTGAGCCCACAATCAATGATTCAGCGAGAATATTAAGCTCCTTTTTTAGGTTTTCCCACATGAAAGAGGAAACCAGATCACCCCAGTTGTGGCTTCCCAAAGAGATCCCTGGGGCTGGGGGTCAGCTTCTAAATGATGGTACACAGCCACAAAGCCCACGGGAGGAAGACTCTCTCCTCCAAATATCGTTGTTGTCTTGTCTGTTTTTATTTTTATTGTCTGAGAGACATGAACGATGTGCTGCAAGCCCCGGGGAAGTATTAAGGCAAACTAAACTCTTGCTTTCTTTTGGCAGCACAAAAGAGAGACCCTTAAAATGACCAAGTACGTGGAGTTGGTTATTGTGGCAGACAACCGAGAGGTAAGGGCCTGTGAAACATCTCCACACAGTTGGTTTCAAAGGGAAGTACAGGGGGCGCTGAACCAGTTAGGACTCGCTTTCCCTCCATGGTCAGTGTGTTCTTAAGAACCTTGGGGACGGGCATTGAAATTGCGCTTTTCCAATCTGAGGAAGCACCAACTATTTAACATGTATCTAGTGTGATAAAATAATTGCAAAGTATAACCCCCCCCCAAAAAAATGCAGTGTTTCTCTGTAGCTAAGCTCTCTAAGTAAGGGGAAATAACTAGGGGGCGTTATAGGTGGCTTTCAATTACACTCTGACATTTTGGGAAAAGTTAGATGTACCTTAACCTGAATGAATGAATGAATGAACGAATGAATGCTGTACAGACATGGTAGAGAAATCCTTCCTTCTTGTGATATGCTTTGTACCATTGATTTTTTTTCCTTCCATTTCATTTTGAATCAATTTTCCTCAGATTATCTTCCCTACGGTTTCTTACCATCCCATTAACGCAATATAAATTGGTGACATTTTTCTCCTAAACTCATTCAACATACATCAATGAAACCAGCTTGACAATTTCTCAGAAATCTCATCCCATTCTGGAAGGTCAGCTTAGAGGAGAGAATGGGGAATTTGTTAACTTTTTTTCCATTCTCCGTCTTGGACATGTTGTTATGAGCTTTTCTTGCTTCTCATATTTAATGTTTAAAAACAAATCTAAAGGAAATTTCTCAGGAAGTTAAAATCCAGCTGATGATGTGAAAAGTGGCCTTGGACAGCCTCCCCGTTGTCCATTTTCTCTTCGCCAAAACATGCCCTGCCTCCATCATGTGTGAGGCTGGAGGAGCTGCAAAAGGTAGCGCATGAGTCTTTGGCTTGAGCGCATGTGCACATTGTAGGGAATTACAGGAACTCCCCAGCTAGGAAACTGTCTGGCGTGATGTGATCTCCTACACTGCAAATGTGGAGCCTCCTCTTATCCCCCCAGTCAGAGTACAGGATGTCGCCAAAGCCCAGGACTTCACATCTCAGGATCTGGGAAGAGGAATCCTGAGTGGTGTGTGTGTGTATGTGTGTGTGTGTGTGTGTGTGTGTGTGTGTGTGTGTGTGTATACACATATACATATACTCTTTTATGATTTATTTTTATTTTATGTGCATTGGTGTTTTTCCTGCATGTATGTGTGAGGATGCCAGATCCCCTGGAACTGGAGCTACAGACAGTTGTGAGCTGCCATATGGGTGCTGGGTTCAATTCCCTGACCCTCTGAAGAGCAGCCAGTGCTCTTTTCTGCTGAGCCATCTCTCTGGCCCCCTGATTGATATTCTTATCGTTATTAATGCTGGCATTTGAAATTGTTAAGTTTCAGAGGCAAGGAAAAGATCTGGAGAAAGTGAAGCAGCGGTTAATAGAAATCGCTAATCACGTTGACAAGGTAAGTCACTTAACAAGTAATTAAATTCCTTGAACTGTGTCAATGTTTGGAAACGAGGTTGGGAGAATTAAGTGATCTTCCTCTGACTGAGCAGAGACCACAGTCTGTCTCTGCATCCTGTGCTGACGTCTGAGTGTCCAGTCCTCTACGCAGGTGTTTTTCAGGACCTGGGCAACTTTTAGGAGACTCCAGCCCTAGCTGGTCTGGGACTGTGGATGCCTTGGGGGACTCAGTTTCCTCTAGGATCTTGTCTTGTCAGAAAAGGTTCTAGCCTATGAGAATTCTGAACAATACATCAGATAGAATCCCACAAGGGTGGATACACTGAGCCTCTGAGAATTTGGTAGCTGGGCCTCTTCTGGGTTCTCCAATGTGAAGGTCACGATGCACCAATGTGGACAGGAGGGTGGATCCTGCAGGCTCCACCATCAGAACACCGAAGCCGATGTCCAGTTCAGTCACCACATTAGATTTTATTCTTTGTCGGTGTGACAGATACCTGCAAGAAAAATAGTGGAGGAGGGAACGTTTATTTTGCCTTGTGGCCTTGGGTGTTTCAAGCTGAGGTCTGCTGACTCTAAGGCTCTGGGCCATCATGGCAGAGAGGGCATGATGGAACAGGGTTGCTCAACTCATGGTGGTCAGGGAGCAGAGAGAGGCAAGGAATGGCCCCCAAGTGTATCTTTTCATGATGCACCCTTATAATCCTTCAACTAGGCCCCACCTCCCAATAACAGTGCCCTAGGATTACTCCAGCCAGGCAGTAATCATTTGATTAGGTCAGAGTCTTCAGGATCCAATCACATCTCAGTGATCAATGGGAATCATTTTAGAGACCACTTCCTCTTGGAACAACTGCTGTCGGAAATCCTTCATTGAGAACGAGGGGGTCTCCGCCACTACTTTCCCAGAACGATTTCTGAGGGCAGAGTCTCTGGGAATCTAGTTTCTTCTAAGCCTGATGGCCAGGAAATGGGAGTTCTGCCTGACTACCGCACCTTTCTTCTGGTGGCACTCCTGCAGGACAGAATCTGGACTGTTGAGGGTTGATGGCTCTCATCTAGAGCAGGGCTTCTCCCAGTGGCTTACACATCATTACTGGGGGTGGGGGCTCCCAAAGATTCTTCTGACTTCTTGTTTGCTGGTAGAGATGAGTGTTTTCTGGTGTCCTCTAGAGAGTTTCACATTCTATGTAGCTGGCAGCTCCCGGGCCCCAATCCAGGGATTTACCTGGTGCAGGGCTATGCTGTAGATGCCACCAGTGGGGAGAAGGCTGAAGTGGAGACACAGCTGAGCTTCTCAGTAGTCACACATCTCCTGCCTATGACAGCCTAGTGGAAAGGCAGGCCTAAATGAAGCTGAGCCTCTCACAGCCAGGCTTCTCCAACATAGCCTCCCTCTGCACACAGCCGTTTAGAAGGGGCTCCTCGCTGCCTCTTTCCTTTCCAGCAGTCCTGTTCTGTTCAGTTTGATTTTTCAACCTTTCCAGAAAGAGGAAGGCAAAAGTCTTTGCATAAATTCTTCTTCCTCCTCCAGCTTCTTGCAGTCACCAGGGTCCTGAGTTCTGTGCATCTGTCAGATGTAATCCCTCTGTTTGCCATCACAGCCAAACCATAGTGGGTAGACATATAAAAGCCCTTCATCCTGCACCCAAGTGACAGCCCTGCCATGATGCTGTGTGTGGAGGTCTCTGGAGTTACAGATGAGAGCTATTCACTTTTGGGGGATAGGAACAAGGGTCAGTCGGGACAGTGATCTTGCAAGGTAGAGAGTGGGTGAGAGGGTACACTCAGTAGGGAAGGGTTTGGTGTATTCCCGACCCTTATAATACAGTGAGTGGCTCCTTGTGGTTACAGAGCATGAGAGCATGCGGATGTATGCATGTGTTTGTGCATGCATACATGCATGGTCATGTATGCTCGTGCCCATGTGTACATACATGATTGTGTTCATGTGTGAACACGGCACACACAGCTAGGGTGGGAACTAACGAGTTGGGATTTAGACAGCCCAAGGCCCCAGTTCTTTCTCCAGACCCCTCTTTATCAGACCCTTGAGGCTGGCTGACCTCTGGAGCAACACGTGGCTTTAGAATGTTTCAGCTGTAACTTCTCACACATCACTGTGTATCCAAAAGAGATGAAGGAGAATCCTGGTTAGGGGACCAGTCCTTTGGGAAAGGAGGGCAAAGCTGAGTTCTCACCGTCCGTGTATGGAGCAAAATTCCATCCCTGGCACCGCATAAACTGGTGTGGTGAAGCTGGCCTGTGATTCTAGTCCTTGGAAGGCAGAAGCAGGAGATCAGGAGTTCAAGGTCACCCTCATCTATACAGCAAGTTGGAGCCTAGCACCAGCTACCTGAGACCTGTCCAAAAAAGAAAAGCAGGATCACAGTCAGGCTGGGGCATTAGAATTTAATTTGTTCATGGGACTACTCTTCCAAATACTGCTTCCTAAATCTCAGCCTTCCTCATCTGGTCTGAGATGGAGCTTGGCACAGATCTGTGCAGAGTTCTCCTTAAACCAGGAGACAGAAAGTGAAAGGTTTGGATAGTTCAGAGGCCCAGCCATCACTCCAACCTCACAAAGACACGCTGTCCTCTGAAAGCCCTCCTGCTCCCCTAAGGAGTAAAAGAGTTCATCCGGGGCCTCCGAAGTAAAAGGAAATGATGGCTTCCATTAACAGCTGACTAGAAATGGCTGGAACCCCATTTTAAGTACATCTGGTTCTCTGCCTTTATCTCTCTTTACATATTAGTCTAGATTCTATCGTGCTTCAGTTCACAAAACTGAAAATGAGCAATTGGGGATTTGTTAATGGCCTGTGCTGGTCATTAACAGTACCCGTCTAGAAGTCCTGGTGAGCTCAGTCAAGCGTGCCAGGCTGGACAGAGGAAGAACAGAGCCAATTCACTGAGAACACAGATATGTTTAGCCCTGGTATTCCTGCCCGCCTCTCAATGGTTCCTAGAGACCCTGGGGAGAACACTCAAGCTCCTTGGGCAACTCTGTAGCCGCCACAGCTGTTGGCCAATGGCTCCAGGCAACATCAGACTTTCCAGCTTTAGTTTTGTAACTACGCTCGTGGGAGAGTCTCAGCCCAAAACTCATTGACTGTCCCAGTGGCTACTTCCTCATTTGCTGACATCTTGGCTCTGTTGGGCATTCTAAGTTAATAACTATTTAGCTGTTCTGGCTTAGAGAAAGAGAAAACTCCAGAAGGAGAAGTGACTCAGAGACAAAGGTGAGGTTCTAAAAAGGGGTCAGAAAAACCCAGATGACAGGAACAGAATGTGTGTGTCTGATGGTCATGCTTCTAGAAAAAACAATGAGGTATTGTTCCTGGGTCCTGGTTACTCTGCAGCAGGAGTAGCAAAGAGAGCATCCGGGGACTGAAGGTTTTACATCTTGAAGCCATCAACCATCGGTCCAACCCAACCTCCTTAAGCTGTGACTTCAGCTCCAAGCCTCAGTAGTCATCCTCTGAGGGACTCCAGATTTCTTCAGTCTTCTTCATTCCTGTGACCACCCTCTTCTCCTCCTCCTAAGCCAGTTGCCTGAAGAAGGCAAGCTCTCTTGGTACCCTAGGGAATTCTACCTCCCTCACGTCTTATCCACTCCTTCCAGAAAGCTTTGGCCCATCCAGCAAAGCATGGATGGCCTTCCTGTTGATGCTATTGCTCAGTGGGATACCAGGTAACTGGATTCATGGTAGCGTGTGCAGTGCCGACAGCCTGTGGTGACCTCTGACCAGCTGAGGCAGGGTGAGGCCATCCTCATCTTTGTTTTCTCCGCTTGTGCCATGTTCTTGCCCACAGCAATTACTGATAGCAAACACTTGTAGCTGTTGTGTAAACAGGAGAATCATTCATCAGTGCCTCTGTCTATGTCTACATACGTTCTGGGATCTCTGAGCCAGGCAGGCAGCTGCCAAGCTCTCTTTGTCCTACACAAGCCCATGAACTTTTCTCGAAGTCTGCAGTCAAGGTATTCACATGTGGGCAGCAGTTTTAATGGTCCAGATCCTGACATCAGAGTCAGTCTGTCTGTGTGCCACTCAAACCCCACAGTCATGATCTTGACTAATTTACCTGGCCACTCCAAGCCTCGGTGTCTTAACTCGAAAATGGGAGCAATGACAGTTCCTAACATAGGATCCCTTTGTGGAGTAAGCCTGGGCTTAGGAAGCACCTTGGCATCAAGCCAGGGCTGTACCTACACTCATTACACTTCACTGACAAGAACCAAGATGGCCTGTGGACAAACCAAGGAAGAACATTCCGAGGAGGTAGGGAAGGGACAGTGAATAATGGCTTGCGGTGGGCATAGCACACATGGAATCTAAGCGGCAGTACCAACTTCAGAGAGGAGGTGACATTCCACTAAGCCTGAAATCTGGGCTAGGGTGTGGTTTGGGAGGGTCTCACAGAGAAATGCAACCTCCCCATTGGTATGAAAACCTCCCTGCTTGGTATGCTGCTGACTTAGCGCTGAGAGAGACAGTAGGTTAGGCTGGGTAGACCTTGTTCCTGCTTCTAGTCAGAGCTTCTGGGAGGCATACAGTGTCCATCTCTCAGAGGGTAACCCTGAAGACCATGCAGGACATCTGGCCTAAGGACATCACTTAGAAACTGACACAGACATCAACATTGATGTCTGTGTGTTTTCTGATTACTGTGACTTTTATGTATGTCACAGTTTGGAATGTCATCTTGAGGGGTGCCCCTGGGATGAGCAGACATCATTCAGAATAATCTCGGAACTGTCTTTCCTGGGTAACCTGGGCTGGAAGTTTTCAAACAAGCACAAGTCACGTGTGGCTTGATTAAAAGCATACCATTGGACAACGTTTTGCTTATGTAATTGTCTCATTAATGTACTAATTCCGTATGGTCTTTGTTATCTATGTAACCCCAACTTGGACCGCTGCAATCCGTGTGACTTACTGTGACATCATTTGTGCCCCAGCTGAGTTCTGTGGTTTCTGCTGTTGACCCGGTGCTCACCATGTGACTCTGGGGACCAGTGAGGGAAAGGATGAGGGGCCGGCCTCATGTGGGGTTGAGAATCCGGGGTCAGAGACTCAACATTGGGGCGCTCCTTGCGCTTCGCTCACCACGTTGAAAGGATGCTTAGCTCTCAATAGTAGAGCTGCTGGAATTCCTGTTCCTTGCTGGCCAGATGTTGCTAGACGCTTTGAGGACCTGCTTCCCTCTGGAGTTGGCTTCAAAGCCTTTCTCCTTGTGTATTCGGGGTCTCGGAAGGTGGGGACTTTCTTGTTGCATGTGGACTTGTGTGTCACTGGCATCAGAAGCTTAATAGGCACTAAGGGGACTCGTGTCCTTGCCTCCTTAGCTGTGATCACAGAGTCGCCTCCCTGTCACTGTGCTGTCGCATGGAGAGCAAGGGTGATTTTTACAGAGCTCCTCCCAACCTCATCATCTTGACTATAAATGGGAACAATAACAGCTGTTAACTCTCCAGTTGCTTTGTGTCCTGAACTATGGGCCTAGAAGAACCTTGGCATCAACCCTCGAATGGACTGATGTAGCCACTCACACAGCCGTTCTAGAGGGGACAAGCCATCCTTTGATAAATAGAAGAGTTGCGTCCCCTGCTCTCCTATGGACTAGGAACTTTGGTTGCAGTCATTATTGCTTACACATAGGGACGAAAGAGAAGACTCACTATGAGTCTGCTCGAAGCTTTCTCACACTCCTGTGAGAAGAACTCTGCATGGCAGATCTTCCCATCTTACCAGTGCTGAGATAACTTCTTAGTATGGTGAGAAAGATGTGCTCATAAAGTTACTGAAGAAGGTTCTGTCTATGCTTCTGTTTTTCCAAAAGGCACCAAACTTCCTAACATGGTAGGTGACAGACTGTGAGGGTGTCAGCCAAAGCTGAGTCTTGGCTGAGAAATTCATCCTCAGTACCTCATAGGCCGAACACTGTACTAAAAATGAGAACAATTCTTATCCTTGGCAGAAGTGACCGGAATGATCCTCATCCAGTCCTTGCTTCTTCCTTGCAGTAGATATTAACTGACAGCATATTGAATGCTAACACACACCCACATTTAAATCAGATCAAGTCCTTTGAAAGGCACCCTCCCATACATATATGGGCAGATGGGAGGTGTTGTAGGGAGTGGGGCCCCTTGTTTGTCCTGGCTGCCCCACTAGCTTACACCTGAAATAATCACACAGAAATTGTATTATCCCACCGCCTGCCCAGGCAGGGAGAGTTGAGCCATGGGATCAGGTATGCTAAGCGTGCCGGAGGCATGGCTGATGACTTCAGCATCAAATGGTCAGCATTAGGGAGTCTCATTAATGTTTCACTCTGAATCGGGCACTAAAACTATTGCTGCCATGGTAACAGAGGTGCTCAGAGAGGGGTCCTCCCGACTTACAGAAATGAACTTCAGTGAACCTGGCTGCAGTCTCCTTTTTGAGTTTCTGATGATGTGGTCCTCCAAGGATGCCCGTTTTCCTAGTTTTACAGACCCCTGAACATCAGGATCGTGCTGGTCGGGGTGGAAGTATGGAATGACATCGACAAGTGCTCTATAAGCCAGGACCCATTCACCAGCCTCCACGAATTTCTGGACTGGAGGAAGATAAAGCTTCTACCTCGCAAATCCCATGACAACGCCCAGCTTATCAGGTGAGAGGTACTGTCTTCCTCTACTAAAGGTGCAGTACCAGCTGCATATACTTCCTGTGGGTGCCCAAAGCCACATCTGTCGACACAGTATACTGGCTCCTCCAAGGGCTTCCTAGTCTGCATCAGGGGTCAAGCATATATCCCCACCTATGGGCATCACATTTGGGAAGTCTCCTGTCCCTCTACAGGACTCTCATTTCTGGTTCGGTTTGGTTTTCCATAACTGAACATTATCCTCTGTGCTAATTTTTCTGGCCTTCGTCTTTTTATTATTATTATTATTATTATTTATTTTTTGAGGCAGGGTTTCTTTGTGTAGATTTGGAACCTGTCCTGGAACTCGCTCTGTAGACCAGGCTATCCTCAAACTCTGCCTCTCAAGTACTGGGATAAAGGCATGTGCCACCCCCCCCACCCAGCAAAGACTGGTCTTACTCTAAAGAAGATTGCCTCAAACAGTAGTGTGTATCATTAATGAGGGAGAAAAAATCTATGTTTTTACATGATCTGAGAGCAAGGCATATGTGTGAAGATTGTCAGGCACATGGAGAAACACGAGGGCCTTCCTCCTCTGGGGGAGAAGTTCTCTCTGGCTTTCCAGGTCAGGGAGTTGTGTTCTTCCTCCAATCAGTATCCACATGGCACCTGCTAGCACCCAGCTAGGCGATTTGAACACAACAGTGGCCAGTAATAAATGTGTCTCTCTGCTGAGAGAGGACAGAAGAATAGGAAGCACTAGAGTAACAGCTAATAGGAGATGTGAAATGAAGCGGGGTGGGGCGACTGTGCAGCAGTGCATGGTGAGTGACCCCAGACACCTTCGCATTGAAGAGACTGTTTCTATATTAGCCTGAATCCGTAGGTAGCAGACATTTTCAGAAATGGCACATGTTTATTTTAATCTTTAAGCCCTTTAGGCTATTTTTTCTTTTGTTCTTGGGCAACTTAAGTGGAATCTTCACACACAGTGGTTTCTGTTCTTTGGTCAGTCAGATCTAGCTTGCTGACCAGTTGTGAGGAAGGGATGAGGTGGTTCTGCCCTGTGTTCACTTTAGGAAATGCCTCCATCCACTCCCAACCAGTGTCCCCGATTGCTCATCCGGCCATTTCAGCGGCGCCCCTGTGGATGTGTTTGGTTGCTTCCCATTTTATGCACTGACCAATCCTGCTCTGTTAAAAGTCCATCTCATATACTTTGAGTTGGAAAGTTTTCTTTTCATTTTGTTTTGTTTTTCGCTAAAGGAATCTGTCCAAGCTAAACATCTGGAAACAAATTAACATCTTTTTTGACCTGCTTATTTTCTTGGATGTATAGTTATAACCATTCATGTGGTCTGTATATATAAGCAGCTGTAAATACAATGGCTGTGAGTTTGGGTGTGTAGTTGGCCCTTTACATCTGAGGGTTCCACACCTGTGGATCCAGGCAACCTCAAACCAGAAATGTTCCGAGGAAAAATTCGACTTTTATTAAGCATGTACAGACCTTTATCCCGGTCCTCCCTGAATAATTCAGTCTAATGACTAACAGAGCATTTGCATTGCATTAAGGACAAATAATCAAGATATTAAATTATATGGTTGCATAGGTTCTTTAGCAAACACAATGCCGTTTTATGCAAGAAACTGAGTATCTGAGTTATGGTACTCTCAGAGGATTACGAATCTAATTCCCATAGATAACAAGAAATGGCTCTAGTGTGATAGATAGACAGATAATGGATAAAAGAAGAAAATAAAGAAGAAATGAAAGAAAGAGTAAACTAAAGAAGAAAAAAGAAACAGAAACAGAGAAGGAACGATGGTATTTATACACTTGCTACCTCTATCCAATTAGTCACTGTGACAATATCTAACTTTAATTTTTATTTTATTTTATCTCACATATGAGTGTTTGCCTGCATGCATGTCTATGCACCATATGTGCCTGATGCCCACAGAGGCCAAAAGAGGAAGCTGGATCCCCTAGGACTTGAGTTACTGACAGTTGTGAGCTGTTATCTGGGTTCTGGGAATGGAATCCAGGTCCTTTGGAAGAGCAGCCAACTCTTAACCATTGAGTCATCTCTCCAGCCTCATATCTGACTTTTCAAACTCTAACTGCATTGTCTGTGTTGGTATACAGCCAACATAACACGACTAAGACACTTGATTACTTTATAGGAGTCCAACAAATACAGTGTTAAGGTTTCAATGCATGAACCTGGGATTAATACACTTGCCTGAAGCACTCTTTTGGTTTGCGTAGATTCATGATCAGGTTGAGATTCTAGATAGGAGAACACCTACGTTGAAGCCACGAAGTTCCCGTCCAGAAACTTCCTCTCTGGTGCCAAGGCTTTGTGGGTGATTACTTGCTATCCACTGGCTCTAGAGGAGCGATCACTTTCCTGCCGATTCCAGTCTCAAAAGCCTTATTGGCAGAACACTTTGAAGGATTCCGTGTCTAACAATGATGAGTTACACAGGGAAGCAAACTCCGGCTCCACCAGAAAAATCTCCCAAGCTGTCTCCCGTTTCCTTAAGCACACAGTGATCCCCGGTGACTTCTCGGCCTTTCTATCAGCAGGCATTGTTTCAAAGGAACAGCTCCCTGCAGTCCATCAGGAAGCTGGCAGGCTGCAACTTACGAATACAAAGTAATGCCTGACCACTGTCTGAGTCTGGACAGCGGAACTCAACAAGAATTATGGGACCATCTTGCAACTGGAAAAGTAAAGTGTAATGCAAAAAGAAAAAAGTCCCAAGTCAGTAAATACCCCTCCTGGGGCTGTTTGTGTCAGTGGACTTTCTGTGGCAGGCCTGCCCAGCCGCATTTGAAACGTTGGGAAATGCATCCCTAATGCATGAGATTAAAGACAGTCCTTCCTTGTGTTTTTCAGTGGGGTTTATTTCCAAGGAACCACCATCGGCATGGCACCCATCATGAGCATGTGCACCGCAGAGCAGTCCGGGGGAGTTGTCATGGTAAGCCAAAGAGGCCCCGGAAATGTCTTCCCTGTTTAATCCCCCCCCCCCCGGGAAATTCCTACTCTTGTCGGACCTCTTGAAATTAGTTCCTTTCCAGTGACGCTGTCTAAATTTACCTCTGCTCTTACTCCACCCATATTTATGATTTATTTTCCCACACGTGGGGACACAGATGGCACACAGGGAAGGCAGGCAAAGGACAGTAGCTCCTTCTGTGAGAAATATCTCAAGTGGGACTACTGGTCGAAGTATCTCAATCCAGGAATGTTTCCTGGCATTGGGATGAGTCGGGGCATGGGGGTTGCCCTTCATGCTCAGTTTTTTTGGGGTAGACTGTGGTCTCACCGAATGTTGCCGCTCTAGTGATTTTTTGATGGTTCTGCCTCTGTGCCCAGCAGTCAGAAGTTTGAGGTTTTTCACTACGTACCATTGCAAATGCTTTCCATACCTTCTGGCCAGAGTACAATTTGTCTTTATCATAACTTATTCTTGGAAGACAGAGGCCTAGGTTTATTGCTTTACGGGGATAACTTTGTCATGTATGGGGCTATATGTGTTTGTAAAAGGAAATACAGCGAGAAGCATGTTTGAGATTTCTTATGAGTTTGATGGAAGGAACTTAGACCGTCTGCCCAATGGGAGGCTCCCTCCCACTCTAGCCCCCCTGAAAGTTCTAGAAGGGATTCTCATACCAGATGGTCCCTTGAGAATCTAGTGCCCACTATGGTACAGTCTTGCAGACAGGTCATTTCCTCAGAGCCCTGTCCTTCCATCTCTATTAAATAAATACCCTGTTGCCTCACAAGAAGCTGTGACTGTCTCCCCACCCTTCATATAGAGCTGTCTGTGAGCGCTCAATTGTAGCAAAGGGTGGAAACGGTTACATTCTGCTGAGTGTTATTTTCTCTGCATACTGCCTAATCTAATCTTCCTAGTGACGGTACATAAACATTTTCCTCCCGTCTGGGAGCAGTGGTAGGTCATTTATGCAAGCGTGCACCGCGTGGGTAGCCTATGTGGAGGGCCTGCACCCACTCGCTGGATTGCTGGCTTGAACCAGCACCTCTCAGGTTTCCTTTGAACATGGAAGCCCTGCCGGTGATCTCCACCATGGAAGTCACTGGAAAGTTTGGGTTTTGCTGGTGCCAGGTTAATTTCGAGTCAGATCGCAGCTATGTTTTCATAGAACAGACTGTAAAGTTTTAAGAGGGAGTAATTTTCAGTTTCATGGTTCCATGGTTAGTTGCTACTGACTTTGCCACTTAAAACTGGCACAAATACATTTAGGAGCCAAAATGGAATTCTTCATAAGCAAAGTGGATCCTTCCCTGCATGGGGCTCAAACATCCCATGTCCCACATGACAGAGTAAAGGACCTGCCAGCTCATATTCCTTGCACTATTTCTATGGAAGCAAGTACTAAGATTCCCTCTTTACAATCATACAGAAAAACCATTCATCTTAAATATGTGAAATAAAGATGTGAATAGATGCAGCTTGGGTACCATGCCGTGAGAATCAAGTCATGACCAAAGTTAGATCAAGGGGACTGAAGAAATAACTCGGCAATCCAGAGTTCACCATGCGGCACTTCCAGAGGACCTAGCTTTGGTTTCCGGGACTCGAGTCAGGCAGCTCCTGACTGCCTGTAACTCCATCTCCAAAGGACCCAGTACCCTTTCCTGGGCTCCGAGGCTACTACACTCACATGGACAAACCCCACACAGAGACACCGTCACATACACACATAATTAAAAATAAATAATTTTTTTAAAAAAAATTGGCTGCACCAATTGGATGCAGATAATATCCTTGTTACACACACCCTTTTTATCCCACAGAGAAATAGCAGATCGTGTGTGGATACCGTCGGGCGGTTGCTTTAACTTCTGTAGGCAACAGAATCCACAGCCTGCCCAGACCTAAAACATCTACGCTAGCTTTCCATGACCCCGCATCCTGAAGTTGGATTCATGCGTATTAGCTGTGACCACCCCCATACCCAATGGCCCCCAAATATACAGAAAGGAGTTTACAAAAAGAGATGAACCCTTATAGGCCGAAAACTATGACTTCTAAGACCATTTCTCCATTTTTTCAAGATCCAGTCAACTGTTGCGTTTAGTAATCTAAAGTCACGCCTTTGTATCTAACGAGCATAGACAACAACAGCAAAAAACCCTCTTGATTTGGACATGCTATCAGACACACAAAAAGATGTGTTCTTCCTCATTGTAAGCCCGTCTAAAGGGATTACCAGTGATCCTTAAGATAGAGTCATATAATCACTTAAGCGTGATGTAAAAGAGCTTAAACAATTCGAAACAAAGCTGTGACAATTCCACAGAACAGAAAAACCAGCTGCTGAGTACGCTTGAGGAACAAGTTCCTGAAATTTTGTGCCAACGCGTGTGCTAACTAAGTCCTGCCCTCCACATGTTCCAGCAGCACCGTGCTCTCCACCAGGGCATGCTATGAAGGATTATTGCCTGATACAAGGCTACGACGCTTGCTACAACAGGAAGCTGTGAGATAGAAATGAAGCAATCTATCAGGGATTTCATCTGGTCTAAGAACAGCTTGCTTCCTAGACACATCTTTGTGTCTCAGACGGCAGACCAGTGAGAAAGCCCTGCTCTTGGTAGTGCCACCAGTAAACACATCGGCACTCACAGAGACACACCTTTACCCAGAGTCCACATAAAGACGAGGAATAAGAGTTTTTTCTAAAACACATTATCATATTCTCTTCTGGATATGTTTTGGAAAACCTGTTATTGCTTTTCTGGGTAACGCAAACCAAAATTCAAGCAAGGTACTCATTTATCCAGGGGTCTGAACATCTTTTCAAAACTCCATCCACTGGCAGAATTTTGTAAATCACATCTACGACCTAATAAGTCTTAGATTCAGTTAAGTAACTATATTTTTAGTTGTTTCTAAGTGTCTACTCGAGCCAAGCTATCCAAGGGTTCCAGTAAGCTGGAGGCAGCCAACAATGGTAGCCAAAGGTTAATGCGAACCTCGGCGGCTCCATCAGAGCAGGGGAATTTCTCTATGTTCAAGGTCAACTTAAAGGGCCAGCAAGAGTGAGACATAACTGAAGTATAATCTTAGTTCAGTCAGTCTTCCAATGAATTATGTTACATGGTCAACTATTATTGTGTGTTGTCAAAAACTTTCCCAGAATCTTCCCCTAGCAAGCAGAAAGGACCGAAGAGGGCTGAGCCTAGCTGTTCAGGGATGATTTGAAAGCATCTTCCATTCAGCATCCTCTTGATGAGGTAGCCTTTTCTTTCTATCATTAGGAATAACTTTTTGCTTCTCTCAGTGGTGTTTTTCAGAGGGGAGATCAGCAAAGAATCCTCACATATCCATGAGACAGCTTTCACCAGGAGAACCCCCAAACGGGTTTAATGAAATAGGCCAAATGACTTCCCATGTTCAGAGTTTATAGCAAGGCTCTCTCTACTGGGCCTTATGGGGAATTCAGTTAAACCAAGTGTTAATGATGGGAAAATGCCAAGGAACAAGAAGATGGGGGAGAAAAGGCCAAGCAGATGTGAACTGTAAATCTGTGCTCTTGTGTTTCCTTTGAGGACCATTCAGACAGCCCCCTTGGCGCTGCCGTGACCTTGGCACATGAGCTGGGCCACAATTTCGGAATGAACCATGACACACTGGAGAGGGGCTGTAGCTGCAGAATGGCGGCAGACAAAGGAGGCTGCATCATGAACCCTTCCACCGGGTAAGTGCCAGGCTCCAGTGGCCCAGGACTGCCTGGTGCACAGTTTGAGTTGTGTGCTGAGAAACATCTTAGAAAAAGAGGAAACACACGCACACACCCCCGCCCAGTTTTCTGACTGAAGAATCTATAGAAGTTTCTCAAAAGAAATTCCTGCACAGGGAGCAAGAGTGGACTGTATGTTCTGGCGAGTCATGGCAGCCAGCTTCAATGCCACATAGCACAAGGGCTGGCCTCTTCCCTGGGATGTGGTGGGGATGGATGCTATTATTTAGAAATCACAAATGATCCTACACTCTCAGCACATGTTTCTGATTTGAGCCTTCGGTTTCAGCTGACATTGGCTGGAGGAGCCAGGCTTCTGAGGGCCTTGACAATTCACCCTACAGATTGAAATGGGTCATGTAGCCTAGACAATTACGTCCTGAAACATGCTGGGTAGAAGGTGCCTTTCGCCTTCGGTTGGATGGGGGTAAGGGTTGATTACAGTATCCATGTTCACAGACCACTTAACCAGACCTCAGGGGGTTGAATGAAATGACTTTCCTGCTTCCAAAGATAGGGTGATTCCGTTTCTTTCAATGGCTTTCTGCATCCTGAGACTTGGTTCCTCCAGGAATCATAGAAGCTCGTCCCACTATTGAAGCCCTTAAGTGAGGGTGACACAGATGCTACCAGGTATCCTCTGACAACTCTAAGAGCCTGTCCCAAGCTGGGCTGATCTAGGCAAGCTTAGAAAAGGAGAGCACACGCTGGGCATGGTGCCCTGTCCTTGTCCTAAAACCCAAGACCATGTAGACACTTCTCCCATGAAGCTTCCCCAGCCAAGTCTCCTGTCTAAGTTTGTTGAATTGTGACAGGAAGGGCCAAAGTGTTGACCCAGTGACCCAGTAGCTGGGCTCTGGGAAGCGTTGCTGCCAAGGAAAAATCACACCCTCGGAGAGACTAGCTGCCTGTTAGCTTAAGGCCCAGAAGACGGAAGGATTGAAGAATGTGGTCTCGCCACCTTTGCAAGAAGAGGGAAGGGTTGAAGAATGTGGTCTTGCCCTTGCAAACAGCCCCCAGTGGGGCTCCTACCAATGGCTTTTAGGACACCAGTAAAGGCTGGGCTAAACCACACAGCCCATACCAAAGCGTTGCAGCCTCGCATGAGCCACTGCCCAGGTGCCTGCCCTTCGCAGCAAGTTACTGCTGCTTCAAGTTACCCTCATGGGCTCTCCAAACCTGCAGGACCAACCTCTCATTCCTGGTTCTGCCTTGAACATAATTAAATAGGGTCACATAGGCCTTGTTTAGTGATAACAGAACCTGACTGAAGGCAAAGAGAGTTTAAAGCCACACTGTCAGGGAGCTCTAGGCATGGCCCACCCTTGGCCCACAGGCTACATGCAACCTAAAATAGAGATGGATTTGACTTGACACAAAATCGTATGCCCACTTAAGACAGGATGAGGTATCTCTTTTGCAAATTTATTTTTGCAACTCAGTTGTGCAGTTCTCAAGCATGAACTTCTAGATGACATCACAGCACCATGTCACAAGGCTGAATATGCCTGCTAGGGACTGCCAAGTGGTATTCTCTGAAAGGAAGCTTGGCCCCCCCTGAAACATACCATTTTCTATATACAAACCCTGAAAGAGGAGAAGAACCAGCTGGGCATTTAGGGCCAGGAATCACTGCTGAGGGTGTGAGGTTGGTCTGAGGCCTACATGCACCTTCTGTCTCACTATCCCGGGGGCCTAGATAGGGCCAACCTCCTTGGGGTGCGTGTGGAGTGGCTCAGGTAGGAGCCGACCTGCATGCAGCAAGGTGGTCTTTGTGTCTCCTCATTCTTGAGGAACTCATTCAGAGGACAGAGCAAATGATCCCCATGCCTCATTGCCCTGATTATCCTGCGGACACTAACACATCTACCCACACACCTCCAGAAAGGGTCCCCGCTGACCAACTGCATGGCTGGCTGACAGAGCTCGTGCTTTCTCGTTTTGGATAAAAGAAAATGGAAGAGGGCAGTCTAAGTCGAGACTAGATTGAAGAAACCATGTCATCCCAGTTCTGACCCAATGGCCCACTCAATGGTTCTCGTGCACACAGGCAGAGAAGCAAATCCCTGGGCCTTTGTGAGCCTTGTTGGCAAAATGCATAGGTCTGTCCGGATGTCTTCCCTGCCTCCCAGCCAGTCAGCCACCCACTCATCCTCTCGAATAGGAAGCACTGTTTCGGGAGCGCTCCACTGAGGAAGACCCTACAGCCCGAAAGATCACCGGCATTTGCAGGCGTGCTCTCTGACACTTTTGGGGTTTGGTGTGAGGTCTTTCTCGCTGGCAGGTGTCCATGGCAGTGCTGCGTAGTGCCGGCCAGATTACCCTAGAGATAGCTGAACGCCTCAGGTAGAAGTGATTTTGTTAAGAGCTCAGCAAAGCATTTTGAGGGCTTCCCCCACACACCAGGGGCCTGCTGATGGCCGTTATCTGATTTATTCCTTATTAGCCGTGTCAGAGTTTTCTCCTTTGCTGAGCTTGTGTTTCTGTGTAAATCTTTTTCTATTTGGTTCTCCTTTATGATCCCACATCCCTGTCCGGAGAGTGGTGGTTTTAATTTTCTCAGATGGAAAGCAACTTCCTAAGCAAGTGGGTGAATTAATCACAAAAGCCCAGAGTGAGGGGAGAGCCAAGGAGCCCAGACAATCCCCCATCATCCATCACCTATGGTGGAATTTCCCAGGCTGCTCCAGCATTATCTCAAAGCGGTGGTTCCCTTGCCTCACGGGGTCCCTGGGAGAGGAAGGGAAATGGGTTAAATGAGATCATTTGCCTCTGTAAACTATAAATCACCCGCGAAGACAAAAGAGTATGGGTGTCATTTCGTTCACAGGGACAGCGAGCACAGAACTTGGACCCTTTTCAGAATTCCCACTGAGCTGTAGGAAGGGCTTCTGGGTTTAAACTTGTCCAAACACCACCCTTTCTCTAATTTCTTCCACCCTACGGACTGACCCATAGATGACTAGTATTAGAAATGCTGGTTCACTGAAGTCTGAACCTGAAGGAAACTCAGAAAGAGATAGATTAATGGCAGATTTGATTATAAGAGCCCAGACTGAAAAAGACATAAATACCAGAAATGGACTAACGGGTGTGTCTTGTAGAGTCCCTGGTTTTCCCCGCACACAGTATGCCTGTACCCTAACTCTAAAATCATGGCCCAACCCTCAACCCTGACATGTGGGACTAGGAGTCCTGCAAACACAAGCATAGAACAGGGTCCTGTACAAAACAGGGTGCCTGATTTCCTTGTGCGCGGCAGCACTAGCTGGGGGGAGTTTCCCTGTGGCTTGTCTCGTTAATTACCAGGAGCCTGGAAGTGCCTTGTGTTTGATGTCTTTGGAGACTGAGCATATAAGACCTGCCTTGGAAATTATTCTCTGGCGTATGTGAAGTCTGGGGGTGGGGGCTGTGTAGGAGTTAAACTCGGCAGCATCCATCCATTAAGGCGCTCCTTGCAGCTCTTGGTCTTCCTGGGTTGAGTGTGCTGCATTCACAGGAAAAAGGATATAGGAGTGGCAAGAACACATGTGGAGTTAGCGTGATAGTAAATAGAACTTGCTACAGTGGAATGTTAAGATTTGTGTTCAAAAATAGAGTCACTGATTCCTCTAATTTTTACAAAAAAAAATATTATTGAGAACTAGGCGCTTAGGCTGTCTGGGAGGAATGCATTGGAATCGGCCACACATTGTGCTCGTTGATGGCTGTTGGGTATACACCCATAGCAGGACAGACTCCTATCTGTGTGGTTCCCATTATGATCCCACATCCCTGTCCAGAGAGTGGTGTTTTTAATTTTCTCAGATAGAAAGCAACTTCCTAAGCAAGCAAGTGAATTAATCACCAAAGCCTAGAGTGAGCAGGAGGGAATGCTGAGGGGAATTTGTATTATAGTGGTAGAGAGAGATGAAAAACCAGGCAACAAAACCCCTGTAGGTTGGAGCCTCGCAGCTGGTCAAGTGCTGGGAGCAAGTGACCCATCGATGCTCAACTCTAAGTGAGACCTCGACATCGCCCCTCTGAGGCTCAGGGAACACTGACAAAAAAGAAGCAGAAGGAATTGAAAGAGCAAGAGGAAGCTGGGGGAATGGTCAACAATGCTGCCTTCTGAGCACGGAATGGCTGTTTGACTCTTAAAGGCACTGCAGCTGTGACTGCCTGCATAAAATCTACACACGGTAGGGCCCAACCACACTCCTGTACATGGAGTGAGAAGAGGCTCATAGGGCCCACCCCTCCCTGAGTTTTATCTAAGTAGCTCACGAAGTCAATGATGGAAGGAAAGGCCTTTTCCTTTGTGGTCTATCTACTGATGAGATGTCCTTGGTATAATCAGACCTTCACCCATGCTCCCATAAGCCACCCTGGTGAAATTCCCTGGGTCACTAAACCAGCAGCAAAAAGAAACCATGCAAGTACAAGAGAAGCTAGCCGGGAAGAGGAAGGGATGGTGGGTGCCAAGGGTAAAAGATGAAGGGGGTAATATGATTAAAATATGCACACATACGAATATGTCATAACGAAACCTATTATTTCTAATTAAGCTATGCTGATTATAAACAACCAAGTGGGCTGGAGAGATGGCTCAGTCAGTAATATATTTGCTGCACAAGTATTGGGGACCTGAGTCCCCAACACCCACATACAGAGTTGAGCACAGTGTTGGGCACCTGGAATCCCAGGACCAGTGAAACTCCTGGGACTTTCTAAGCTGCTAGCCGAATCAATTAGCAGGCTCACGCTCAGTGAAAGACATTGTAAAGTAAGTTGGAGAACGTTTGAGGAAAACACCCAGTGTTGACCTCTGGCCTCCCCACATACATTCATACACACTCATCCTTGCATACGCATTTACATTTGCACATGCATGCACGTGATGGCAGGATCCTTGATTTCAGAAAACTGGCATTCTTTGTAGTGGAGAGATGGGCAAGGGATCTGGAGCTGGCAAGTTG